TCCTACCGAAATTGTTGTTTATTTCAATTAGAATTAATCCATGTAACCTCCAGTAATAACCAAACAGGCAAATAAAGGATTATTTTTGTTTTGAAATGAAAAGTGAACATAGTAATGTCGATGAAATAAATTTTCCAAAACATATTTATAAACAGTGTGTTATGTACCGCTAAATAAAAAGAAAGAAAAGTGAAACCTATGAAATTTTTATAAAATTATGTATCAAAAAACTAATTGGTCACATAGGATAAGCATAGATGAAAATCGGCATAAAAGTATGCAACGCACATAAGACAATAAATAGCATAACTATATCCTTCAAAAATGTTTAGAAATATGAAAAGTCTTGCTATATATATATAATATTCGATTTTATATATTAGTATTTAACAAAATTTTGATTTTGAAGTTAGTTCAAATAATATTTTTCCATTGTCCGTATGTAAAGAATCTAACAGCCTTGAAAAGTAGTTAAATCAAAAATAGTAAATCCTGATACAACTAAGTGTAGTCACATCACAGTTTTAATTCCTATTAGTAACATTAGAAGCACTAATTGAAAATAAGTGTATTCAAAGTGAAACAAAAATACATAAGCTAAAAAATGACGAAAATTTTCGCTTTGCTATGCATCGGGAGAAAGAATGAGAAAAAAACGACACAAAAACGAAACGTTTAGATCCAAACATTTGATTGAGATAAGCATGTTAATGATCAATTATAACAGGCTCCCTGATATCCAACAATTTGACTGTTTCTTGCCAATCACTATAGCTAAAGCTTATAATACCACGATTGTCCTGATCACTACTTTTCTCAAGAGCTTTACGTTCAGCATTACCAATTAAACCTAAAAATTTTCCATCTTCATATTGGTAATATATCATAATTTGCACACAAAAGGAGAAAATGTAAAGTATTCCAATCATTCATTTTTTGCTGCTAAACTTACTCAAACGTGGCATATTATCATCGCCAATATGCAATCCAACTTTATTTTCTTTTAATAAAAATGATGTATAGAAAGCATTTGCCACAGAACGCGAGAAATCCATTGGATGGAAGCAAAATTCGAAATAATTAATTGATATCATATTACGCTGCTTTAAACAACTTTTTAAACAATGCATGACATTGTCAAGTTGTCGAGCAAGCGGATCCTTTCGTCGTTGCAATTCCTCTTCCTAAAAAAACTGATATCTTTTAAAAATTAAACATAACTATTTGTCACTATATCCTTTCATCATTCATTTAACAGTTGAAGCAGATATTTAAAGTCATTATGGAAAAAAACTAATAAATCCAATCCATTTACTACCTTAACAACCTTAATATTCATTTACACATTGACCACTTTATAAAATTTGAATGGATTTCAGCTCTTTCAATCGATCACTCAGTCCGTCACTTAACCTTATGATTTGAATAAATGCTTCCTCTCTGCTAATACTTACTTTAACTTCTTGTAACTGCACTATTTTTTCATTCAGCTTTAATTTTGCCCTTTCGACTTTCTTTTTTGAATTTTTTTCAACTTTGTTAAATTCATCATTCATTCCTTTCGGAATTTCCTCCAGCAATAACGGTCCGCTGAATGATAAAAAAAAGTGTTTAGCTTTATCAACAGGCAAAAAAAAATAGCCAATATAGTAATATATATAGTGATACTATGGAAATGCAATAATGACCCGCCAATCACTGTACCATGCCTTTTATCTAAATACTCAGAACACTTTTTTTTTGTAAAAATAATTTTTTTCGAAACTAGCTTAAAAGTTCAAAACATCACTACTAACCTTAAATTTACTAATCATTTTTAACTGAAGTGTTGCAAAAATCTTGCTGAATAACTACAAAATGAAAAACAATTACAGGCATGATAAAGCAGGTGGAAGGTTGAGGATATTCATAAAATGACTGCCGAATGCTGCCCAGCTCGACTGCTGATTATCAAGCGTTGTTTTCCCATCTTCTTCGATTAAACCACATTCATTTTTTAAAAAATTTGTCTGAAAACAAATGTTTTTCACTATAAATTAGAATCGCCACAGTAGTATATTAATATCCTGAGAGAAAGTTTGTACAATCTATCAAATTCCGACCTTTGAATGTCGAAACTTTGGTCCATGCGATGAAGACTAAAAATGTTTACAAATTCAAAACAAAAATTTATGACCCTACTGATGCTGAATAGTCAAAACCGATGAAATTTAGTGATGAAAACCAAAAAGATTTTATTCGATTTAATTATTTAAATTTGGTGGAAATTCTGTTAAACCACTCTATACCAAATGTAGCTTCAAAAAAATTTAAATTGAAATCCAGGACCTAAATCCAACTTACAACTTAGGCTATGAAAAGTAAAAATTATTTCCCATATTCCATCCTAATTTTTCCTAACCGGACATTCTTCCTACCAATACTATCGCTATCAATATGTTCATTCTTGTTCGATAGCAATGCACTGAAGGAGAAAGAAATAAAAAAAAAAATGAAAATCTCATTATTACATTTATTCACTATGTTTCTACATAGATTGTTTCTTTTTTCTCTTTTGGAGAGTATGAAAATTTATCTTTTCTAAAAAGTTATCTATGTAAACTATCCTATAAGAACATTCAAAGATAACATTGAGAATAAAATCATAAAATGTCTACGTGATAGAAAATATCCCGCTAAAGAAGTGTTCAATAACGATAATAATTAAGCCTCATTATCACTTTATCGACAGGGAAAATTAATGAAAAATAATCAGCCTCTGAATTTCCAAATATGGTTAGTTCCAAATTGATGATCTGATCCCTTGCAATCAACAAAGGCTTCAACAAAATTGAACAAATAAAATAAATCTATATCATAATGTTGTGTACATAAAAAAAGAATATATGAAACACTATATTTGTAATATAATATTAATTTGAACAAAGACATACTTAGGCGACATGACCAATTATATTAATACTATCATATTAATGCTCGAAAGGTTTCAGAAACGAAGGCTACTTTATTCTATCATAAAATCAAATTTATAAAAAAAAAATCATTAAACATACCAATGTTTGAACAAAAGAATGCAAATTAATTGTTCTCTTGGCTGAGTCATCATGAAAACTTTGCACTTCTGTAGCAATAAGTTTTGACAAGGATTTCGTTAATTTTGCATCTGTCATCATATAACGACAAGACTGCGTCTTAAAATACTCTCGCTTTTTTAATTTACTCAGCAATCATTTAAAAAAATCCACAAACTACTACGCCTTGTAACGGGTACGGACTAAATAGTAATGCTACCAATATTGGTTTTCTTTCGTTTTTCTGCTAAAAAAGAAAGAAAATCTAACCTTGACAAGATTTTCTTCTAAGTTATTGGTTTGCTGCAAGTATCTCTGAGAATGAAGATTATCATCTTTTTCACAACCTTCGCTCACTGCCATTGTCAGCTCTAAAATATCAAACAAAATTATAAAATATTCCAATCATAAAATTATTCCAGATCACAATTCTTGTGTGTTATACAAGAATTCTAGCTTCGACAAAATTATTATTCAAATAACAGCCTTATCCAGATTTTTTAAAGCTTTTTTGCATGATCTTCTGAGGAAATATCCTAGTCACGAAATTACTAATACTATAGGCTTGATCTAAAAATCAACCATCAGTCAAACATATATATGTCATAATATGTTAACAGAAATGCCTTAAAAAATTATGAAAAGAACAGCTAGACTAACTATCAATCTTTTCGCATAATTGTTGTGCTCTTTCATGGTACTGCAATTCACTCTCATCATTGTTACTGGTACCACATTGGTCAACATCCTCTGATGGTTCCATATCTTCGTCCATTAGTACTGACAACTCGCTGGAAACTCTGTTTCATTTGTGTCTTTCTACTCGACCAATACCTACCTATTTGTTGCATATCGATTGAAAAAATTTTCTACTGAATAATAGAAAGAGTAACACTACTAATTTTTTTCATTGCTCATTTCAGAACGATTACTTAACAAAATAGAATAGAAAATCTAACTGACAACCATGAATGAAAAAGAATTGCTCAAATTTCATTTCCTAATTTTAAATTTCTACGGTGTGAAAAAAATGAGTACCTCCGCATCACACCGTAGTAATCTTAAAAGGGGAAAAAAAAGATAACGATTACATTCCCAAATTAGAAACACTACCTATAGCAACATTTTCGCAATAATTTTTTTTGTTTTTATTTCTGTAAAAAATCCAAAAAAACACATACATTATCAAACGACAAAAAAATTTTATTGGTTTTCTTAGCATTTCCATTGCTCATTTCAAATATTTTTTACTAAGATACAAGCTTCCATCAATACATAAAAACGAAAAAAAAGAAATGATAACAATTTATCAACCTTTTATTAGAATAACAATGTGGAAAAGTACAATAATCAGCGACTATTAAAAATCAACCAACTTTTAAAAATAAATCAAATATCGCTGTTTTAAAAAAAGATAATAGATGCCAATATGAAAAAGAATCCTCAGCGAAACCCATAAAATCAAATGAAAAATAAGCTATAATATGACTTACTGACAACATGTCTTTTTAATTTAAAACAATAAATAATAACATATCGAAGTTTATTATACTAAAATGTATGAAAAAAAAAAACATAGAAGATTATGTTCGCTTATAGTATCTGATAATTTGTTGTAAGATATGGTAAACGTGAAACAGAAATCTGAATATTTTGGAAATTCACAAAATCAGGTTTCGTAAGCCATTACCAAATAATGCACTTAACAACTCTTGCAAAAATCCTTCCTCTTCTTTATTTTATTGCACTTAATTATATTAAAAGGCGAGAATTAGTCAGCTATTTTTTGATCATTAATCAAGTTAATTAAAAAAAAAAAAAAAAATTGGATATAAATCTCTATCTACTTAAAATGATAGCATTGAAGGAATGATGACCTTAAATGAATTTGAAACTGTACGATGTCCGTCAAAATAACGAAATCCAAAATCACTCTGCAATATAATGCCATTTATCCAGTTTTTTTGGGATATCTTTTACAGCACCCAATGGTGGCTGTTCAGCTATGATTTTTTTCCATTTATCAATGTTTGCTCGATGCGCTGCTTCATGCACATCACACGTCATTTCACTATTTAGCTGTGGTGATGATTCGTTGACAAGACGCTTCCAAAATTCATGTGTTTCAGAAATAACACCTAAAAATTAACATATTTAAACTGAGACACCAATACTACTTAATACATTTATTGAAGCAATATTAAATCTTAACATATAACAAATAGTAGACAGTTCCTATACCACACTTCAAAATTAGACAAAAAACTGGATAATCAAATAAATTGAACTTAATGGAATTATAAATCCAAATTTACTCTAATTAGCACAAGTCGATATTATCTTAAATCACTCAAAATAGATTAATTAGCATCAAACATTTTAATGAAACGAACTAATGACGATTTTATCCTAAATTCACTGAATTTACAAACTGCAATAATTTTACTTGACTCAAACTGGCAATCAATTTTTATCACGAGGAACATAGCTCATACTCCAAGATGCCACTAAAAATATTTTAACACTTGCTCTTATAATTTGGTTAACAGGAAAGAAAGTGAACATACCATGTGCAAAGTCAGCATCTTTGAATAATCCGTTAAAAGCAAATTGATTGGCCGGTTTACCTGTCGGAATTTTGTAATTACGAAACCATTCACGTGTTGCTTTCAAAAGACCCGGAAAATGTTTTTCGACATCTTTTATTTCATTAATTTGATCCGCTTTCTCATCCGTCACATCGATAGCAACCAATTTCCAATCTGTTTCACCTTCATCAATCAATGCAATAACGCCGACAATTTTCACCGATATTACATCACCACGTCGATGAATTTTAGAACCAATTTCAATCACATCAATTGGATCATTATCACCGCAAGCTCCTGTAGCTGGATGTTCATGTTTCGGATCTTCCCATGTTTGAGGAAGAGCACCATAGTTCCAGATATAACCTTTAAATGGGAATACATTATCCACAAATCGTGGTTCACCATTTTTCACATCTTGTTTGATTGGTGTCATTGATTCCTTAGTTGACATTTCCATTTTAGCATTTGTCCATCGAGGAATTTCAATTACCATATTGTAAATTTTCTTTGATTCATCGACAAACAAAGGTATATCATGCCATGGTGAGATATGAGAACCATTTTGATCCTTGAAATATATTCTATAATCCAAACCATATAGTGAGCCAAATTCTTCGATAGTATACTTTGCAGAAGACATTAATGATTCTCCGGAAACTTTTAAACAATAAGGAAGTACTGATACTGATGGAAATATCGTTTTGATCAGGAAAACTAATGCACTTCCGCACAACAATCGCATACAATAATGCTGAATATAGCCCACGTATAAAGAACTAAAAATAAGAAAAATACATGCATTGAGCTAATTTATCAACATTATATCAGTCGTTCGCTAGTTTAAGCCAACAATTCTTATGATAATTGGCAATTATTTTGATTAGTCTTTGATGCATTATTTTATTTTACATCAATAAAATCAATTTAAAAAAAAAAGGAAACATTCTACTGTAACTATTTCAGTTCCTATTCCCAATTTTTTACATTCATATTCCCCTTAATAAATGATAAATTACGATGAAAGCGAAATCAGTTATTAACCAAGCAACTAAATGAAACTTTAAAACTAAGGACTAAGATGCAATGGTTGCTTCCTTTGATTAAATCAAATAATATATTAAATATAGCACTATGCATATGATAGCATTGATAAGCAGTAAAAGAATTTTAAGGTTAATACTAAAATACACGAAATGAAATACCATACAGGAAGAATGAAATAAGCATGAAATGGACAACTTAATGCAACAAGCAGTGAAACAGTGACGAATATGCCATTTATGTCACTTACCAGCAAGCAAAATCATTATGGATAATTACAAAACTGCAATAGCAGTTACTCCCTTAATGCTTCTTTAAATATTGTTAATTCTAACTCAATGAAAGCTTTAAACAAATTTTCCGATTAATCTAAGTTGACGTCCATTATCCTAAAACTTCACTTTTCTTTTAAAATCAAATTCATTTCATGATGTTTTAGATCTGCCGGGTGATTTCAGATCAAATTTTAAAAAATGGAGGAAACATTTTAGTATTCAAGAACGTCAATAACTTTCGAAAAATGAATTTGAGAATAAATCTTGAAACTCATTAGCAACAAAAAAATTAGTAATTCCACTTATCAGGAATAAAAACAGTACTTTCGTCACAAAAAAATGAGTATGAAATAAGTAATCATAAAAGACGAATCTTTCTAAATCTTGAAAAATTTATACCAATCTTTTAATACTTTCTTTAATTTTCAGCAAGATCATACATGTCACAATATAATGCAACAATGCCATCGATTACGAATATAATATATCTATTTATTACTGAGCAGGTGCATCTTTTACAACCTTGTATAATCCATTTACACAAGATAACAAATTCATTTTCACTTTCCGCTGCAAAAATGCAACAACATCCTCCAATGTGGGTCCATGCTGTCCTGGACTTGCAAACATTCTGAAAAAAGAAGTGTTATTTCATTCGAAATTTAAAGCAGTAAATGAATACGATGAATTCAGCTAAATAATTCCAGATAATCCGGAGTAATAATAATCTGGGGACATATTAAAAGAGAAATCCTATGAAGCAATTTCCTGCTTTCAATTCGTCAAAAGCCTATGCAAAGTATTAACTATGCAATTATCAGCTTATCCAATACAATGTTTAGTATAAGACAGAAATAAAGAATCAACAAGATCTGATTACCTGAAGATGGTATGTAACCGCTCAGCTTTGACAGGCTCCTGATTAGCGATAAAACTTTTAGTATAGATCCAGTATTGCTCCAATGCATCAACTGCTTCCATATCTTCATTTTTGTCATCATCTGATACATCCTCTTCCATATCGTGTTCAACTTGCAAACGTTCCATTTTTGATGTCCCACTTGCAAGATGCCAGGTTTTTGCTTCACTTTCGCCCTGCCAATTTTATGAAATTAAAGAATTTTCATTTTTTCAGATAAAAAGAGTTTTTTTTTTCAACGGAAAAATTCATTAATAAGGAAACCACTGAATGCTGATCCAATGAGTCCGAGTAGCAAATTTACAGACTGAGATCATGAACCAGTTCTGGGATAACAAGTATAATAATGAGTGATATATGAGCACAACATGAACAGAAAACATAGTTCGATGAATGGCTGTTTAGACTCTTAATTATTCGTAACACATAAGTTATTCGATTATGCGATATTAAAATCGCATAAATCTAAAGTGTTTTTTTTTTTTCCATCACTTACCGCAGAAGCATATACAACACCACTGTTTTGCCACCATTCCAATCTTTTTTTAACATTTCGTTTGTCCATTTTTAGTTCAGCTGCCATTTCATCAACTGTCCAAGTTTCTGTAAAATTTTACTCTCTTCAATGAAGCACTCACTACCAAATGAAATTATTTTCATGGCATTAAAAAATATTGCCACTAAATGCTAACTAGTTTCAAAAAAATAAAACAGTAAACCTTTCTTAGTAAACAATGATAAAACAGCAGCGTGAGCTGGTGATACAGCAACTACAGCCTTCACATCATCCAATTCTACTTCCAATTCGATAGAGCCAACAGCACTCATCCATTCCAACTTTCGAGATCCCTTATGTGCTTCGAATCCACGCGCATACTCATCCAAGCCAATCATCAATGCTTGTGGCATCTACAAAACGATTAAAAAAGCTCGAATGAAGAAAGAATTTTGAAGTGAGAAAAAATTACTAAATTTTTTAGAACAGCTAGAAGCAAAATGCATACCGTGAACTCTTCATTTTCAATCTTTGGCCAGAAAAATGATGATATAATTCGCGCATTGATTGGAAATGGCTAAAAATCAACCATTTAATATTTCTATCGATAATTTCTTATAACAGGTAAAAAATTTGTTGTCATTTGTATCTAATGGGCTACTGGATCAATACATATATATATGGTTGATTCTTTTTAATTTTTTCTGGAGCAATTCTTTTTCAAAGTTGCGCTTGAACGTGTAGACATATGTAGCATAAAACACGTGATGTTTAGATAGGGTTAATTCCAGGATAATATTAGAGTAAAATGCACTTCGGTTATTTAGTTAAATTCATTAGATTATTCAATATTTAATGTCTAAGATAACTTCAGTTGTTAACAACTGTCCACAAATACTGAAATAATTTCGACTCGGATTTTATTTATTCACCAGCAAATTATCCACTAAGCAATCGATGTGTTCCGAATCACGCATATCCTTCAGCATCACTTCACATTGTTGTAATTCTCCTTCACTAAACCGAAGCTTAAGTAATTCCAAATAACGTTGCTCAAACTGTGGCTGAAAAGCGATTTGAAATCGTAAGAAACCAAACATTTACTTAAATTACCTTTGGTCAAAACTTTTGTATAATGAAATATGACCCAAATATTGAAATACGTCCCTTATACAGCTTCAGAATTTAAATTTTTGCTTAAATATCCAAATATTCACATCCCGATTCCAGGATTTCGTGAGTCGTTCAGCGAGCAGTTCACGATATTCTTTCACAAATATTTCTTTACTTCCATAGACGGATACCAGCATGTTAAAAACGTCTGCATTCTGTCGATATCGACGGCTTTGACAAGGATTTGCATCTGGTGGATCTGGCAGCCAATCCATCCAATTACGCTCTATAAAAAAAAGGCTAAAATACAGGACTTTGCTTTAAATCGGATCTTATACATCCCAAAATGTACTACATCTACTTTAATAACATTCCTTGATCTCTATCTTTCTACCATTTTCACTTTTTATTTTTGAAAGGATATGAGTTTCGATAAAAATGCAATTGGGAATTATATTCAAGCAAAAAAAAAAAGAAAAAACTCGCCAGCAGTATCATCTGAACCCGGAACAAGCTCATCGTTCACTCCTACCAACTCTTCCTCATCCAAAAAAGCCGTTCTTCGCATTGCCAATTGCTCACTAAGTTCTTCCCGTTTTTCACCGGTAATATAAGTTATTATACATCGAACCGTATCGGGTCGTTGTCTGAATTGGTCAAAGTGATTTATTTCACTGCCGATAATAGATATATCAGTTACCAACCAGTGAGTTATATTCGTTCCCGACACATTAACAATTTCAAATTAAGTAACTAGAAACAACATATATTTTGATGCATGAATAAACTCATCAATTAAACACTATCAAGTCAAAACTTTAAATCATTACTTGATGTATTGTCTTATTATAGAGCATATTTGTTGCATAATTACACATGTTGGATCCAAACGTCGTAAGCACTCGACTGCACTAGCATATCCCTCCAAAATTTCTGTTGTCCCTACGCCTAAAAATAATTTTCTTTCAAAAGTTATATCTTACACCACACGAAATACCAAAACGCTTAATTTATGCTGCGAAAGTCATCGTATGCTATTTTATAATGTGATCAAAATGGAATATTTTCTTCGTTTTTGTGAACTGTGCAAATATTAAAAGAGAAAAAAAAAAGCTAACCAACTTGCAGCAATCTCTGCTCGACATCTTTTGTTAATGTATCCATCAATAACATCCGTCCAAAACCACCATTATTTTGCATGCAACAACGTAAATCATCGATCACTCCACTTGACTGCGGATATTCAACTATTACAAAGTCGTAGATCTGAAGGTACAGATGTTCTCATTACCACAACCATATATCCCAGTCTCCGATTCGATACCTCCTTAGTAAGTAATTATACGCCATGCACTTATGCTTTCTATAAAAATGCAAACATCATCTTTGACTTAGTGGTCGATATTTTCAGATTAAATCATACCTTCTCAGCAAGCGTAGTTATAAAACATTTTTCCATTGCTTGTTGAAGAGTTTTTTTTGTCGGCTTCAATCGTGATAAACCTATTATTACAGTCCAATCCGTAATGCGTTGACATCGCTGTAAACCACTAAACATCAGTTCTTCATTTTCAGTTCATTATCATTTGATAAAGAATGTTATAGTTATGGATCTTTTGTTCAACTTGTGTAGTTCTCATACTGATGCACATCTTAAACATGGATGTACATTTTAAACCACATTATTTATTTTAGTCACATCAGTGGGTGAACAAAGTAATGTAACTACAGTGAAGATAGATTCAATAGAGTAAATTAATAGCAAAAAGTGAATAATACAACTAATTTGGATTATGTCTAAATTAGTAATATTATTTACTTTATTTCTTAAAAGTCATTTCATCATTGTACTATACCGGTAAGTCAAATTAATCTCTAATTCCTTACTTATATTTTCGTCAAAAACTTAAAAAAAAAAAAAAAAAAAGAAAATACCTTAGTGTTATCAGATAGTGATATCAATTCTGTTGATATTGCACATTTACGTTTTGCCATATTAGCAATGATATGCCACACTGCTTGATTATGAGCTTGGAATACGACTGACATAACATCGAAACTGTTCGGGTCTATTCTGAAAATGTTACAACGTCAAGTTGCCTCGATTTCAAAGGATGTTGCGGCAGTGATCAAAAAGCTTAGACATTAATTCATCCGAAGTTCAAGAAAAAATTCTAATCTTTTAGAGCTTATTTATTATTTGTTGAAAAAATAAAATACAAAAAGTGGTTTCAGATCAAAGCCATTTCAGGCAAAAGGTATTTTTAAAGTTAGATAACACATCACATCTAATGTAAAGTGCGCAATGTACCATACGTATTAAAACAGCATTTCTCTATATAATAAACAGATGAATGATAATAACTAACAAATGCATCACTGTTTCTCGAAGCATGACAAGCACAGACTCATGACAAACAGATATTTCGTTATCCTTTTCTTCCAATGTTTCATATAAAAGAAAGCTTACTTTAAATGCATTGCTCATTAACATTTTCATTTTCCTCTCTATCTGAAAAGAAATATAAAAACTAATTTTGCAATTAGGAAGTCAAAAAAAGCCAAACATAATAAAGATGATAACATACATGTACAATTATTAATATTTTTCATCATTATTCTCATTAACAAACTATTCAGATTTCATCCATTTGGAAGGCCTTCCTTCTCTAACCATATGTTATCATGCGTAGAGAAAAGCATATAATGAATTCAAAAAATACCAAAGATTGTTATAAAAAATGGTCATCAAATTTTGAATGCATCTACGTGAAAATTTAGCTCATTTGCATTTATTCAAACAGCTATGCTTTAAAATGCACAATACATCTAGCACAATTCATGGATCACGCATGTAATTTGCATCCTTAGGATTCATGTAAGTCAAGAAAAGATTCAATAACTGCGTTGGAACAGGAGTGTACAACGCAAATAAAACATGAGTGCACAAAGCAAAAATGAAAACTAACATCAGATTTAAACAGTATATTTCCAGCAAAATGTAGAACCCTCGTTCTAAGATATTCGGCACTATGGTTATTTCCAACCATAATTTTTCGAATTTTCTGGAAGACCCGTAAAATTAGAGAACAATTCTTCAATGAAAGTAAAGTTTTGGAAAATAAATAAAAGCAAAATTTTAATCAGTTGTAACTAAAGACAAAAGCTTTGTTTTGAAAATGACATAGAACTATGCTCAGAAACCATTCAAATATTTCAATAAAATCATGTGCTACATTAAAACTATCTCATTAGGTTTCCTGAACGACAACCTAGCTTTAAAGCCCTTAGATAACTATTTGCTTTTCTATCTTTTCAAGGATTTAGGATCCAAATTTAAGGAATAAAATTACACAAGTTATATCTCACAAGTCTCGAAAACTTTTAAATCTACCTTGTCAATAACGTTTTCAATAGATATCACTGTTTCATGTAACGCGCTTATTATGTAATGATTTGGAAGGGTCAACATTTGAACAACAGCTCTACGAAAACGTGGAAGAATGGTTGTTGTTACAAATTCTCTGAAAAAAAAATTAAGTTGTTTCATTGATTAAAGTCACTGAAGAGGGAGTGATTTTCGAGGAGGATAAAATTTTTTCAGTGAAAATTGGACAATTAAGAAATTAAAAAAACCATGAGTTAAGATGAAGGCATAAGATCTAAAATTATTAAAGGTACAGTGAAGAAAATCTAGAAAATCAGTACAATATGGATGAATCATAATGAAATTATTCTTTCGAACCCTTCAGAATTATGTCCTTCGTTTGCTTATTTAATCATTAACAAGAAGCACACATTACAGCTAAACTTTGGTTACAATCATCATCAATAAAAACTGAGTAGTTGAACAAAATCTAATTCAAATGGAAAAATTGGGATAGAAAGCCATCCAATTACATTTTTCCTCAGCTAATTTGCGTTACACGGAACTGAAGAAATTATTACCTGCACAATGCATACCCCTTTTCTGGGTCCCTCATGACTACAACTTCATTGGAGGAGGATGATGTCATCCCGAATTACTGCAAGCTCGAGCAAGTGGTGGAAAACAGCACATCATGCATTTAAGTGCCAAACGATCAACAAGAATGAATAAACCACAGTAAATTTGGTCAATTCGATGTAACAAGTTCGTTATAATACACAGTATTTCTACTTAATACCCAGTCGTCAGAACTGTCAATTATAAAAACGACCACTCGTTTTTTAGAAAAACGGTTACCCTTTTCTTCGAATACTAGAACTGCTTCAACAAAATTCCAGAAAAAGTCAAAATACCTGAAAGAGAAGATAGGAGATTTAGAAAGGGAGGAAAAGTAGCTTCTGAGTAGATAAAAATAACAGAACTTGTAATTAATAGCAAGATAAATTTCTTCTCCAAGAAAATTTAAAATACTATTTGTATTTCATTGAGTCAACCACTGATTACGTTACTCACCCATTCCAACAAGAAAATTTCAACCTTTCCTGTAGAAAGTGTAAGACGACAATACAGTCAAATAACAGAAATGCATGAATAAGATATCATTTCACAGTAAAGTGAAATAAAAAGTGGATTTCAAATATACATTATATTTAGCTAAAAACTAATTAATAAGAGATCTTTTTTTCTTTTTCTTCATAATTTTATTTTTCCATTCATTTACAACATCACTGCATACAAAACAACGATAACGTAACTCATATTCGAATATTTCCCAAGCGCGTAAGTTCCCGACCAAACTTTTCGTACAACTCACCACCTTCCTAAAAACAGAAGAAAACATAAACTTAAAGTTTGTTTATAGAAGTCAGAAAAAAAACGACCTTAAATAGTAATGAAAAATGTGCTACAACGCTGCAAAAAAATAAAACTTCAAAATACCAAAAAGTAGATCACATGACTGTAGCTGTTAGTAACGAGGATTTCCGACTAATTCGGAAAAAGAAATTTGCTTTTAATAATCTTAATTCAAGTATTTCTGCAATTTGAGATTCGTATAAACAGTGAAAATCATACAAACTCCCGTAAATTTAGACAGTGAAAATCATAAAAACTACCGTAAATTCCAAATACAGACAGAAATTATTCCTATGGCTAGTACAAGACTTCAAAATATATCGCCAGCTTTTTGCTTCAAACATAGCTTTTAAATGATGATTTTAAAACGATTAAATTAATATACTTTTTGATGCATTACCTTAAAAGCTGTACTTGGTTCTCTCATTGTCAATGCTATTCTCCGACCACGGATATGTTCCGGAAACACAGCATGCCTCCATGAATAGCGAATCTCATCAGACATGCACACCATTGTCCTAACAATATTACTTTCTTAAACACTAATCTTTGCTTAATAAAGCTATGTGAATATATCATTCAGATTTTGCCTACGCTTTGATGCGTTATCAAATTACCTGCAGAATACAGAAAAAAAAAACCATCATTTCTTTTTATTCTTAATTTATCCATCAAAAAACCTTTCTGACAATCAATCTCATTACAAGATTCTATAGCTGCAAATTTTCGTCACAAAAAAAGATATGAATTTTCGAATGTGTAGCTTAAATAGACCTGCTCGGTAGTGGGACATAGATGATTAACTGTTTCTCGTCATTTGCGTATGTCAGTACCGACTTAGTCAGGAGGTTGACGCTAAAACTGGCAACAAGTAACGACAGAAATAAAGACAGGATATAATCAAAATGCAAACAAGCGTTGGAAAAAGAAAAAAATACAATTAAATTCAGTTAAAAATAAGAAATTCAGAAATCAAGAAATATTTTACGATTTTACAGAAAAAACTAAAACGATAAAAACTGAACCAAATTTTCATCTCTTTTTGAAAAAAATCCGAAAGACCATCTGACCTTTGACAAAAACCTACCATATATCTACAAAGAAACTGAAAAATGCAAACAAACCAAATCAGGCGTTCCCCCCAAATCCATGTATCATCGTAGTGCATTTCAATAGTTGACCACCGACTATCCCTGTATTCCAAATTACATAATTCAAACGGTTGATAGGAACCAAACAAATCAGAGGAAATGGAATTCATCCTATTCAGTATTACGTCTGTGTAACTCGGCATCCCAAAAAACCGATCCATTTTTATTTTCTTATGTTTGAAATTAATACGTGGACCGTAATCCTATAAGCAGACTGCGCTAGAGTCGTCTAGTAGTCAATTTTCATGAACTTTAATGATGTGAAATGAACTTAAAAAGTGATTGAAAAACGTTTAATTCATTATTAACCAACGATCGTTCCAGTTACAGTTTGTATAATTCCTTTCAACCGCAGCGCTTATTTTTAGAAATACAACAGTTGAAGGATTTAAAAAAGCCAATAGAACACCTGTTTTCGACGTCCTGATTGTGAAAGCACCCAATCCGTTTTATCAATTGCATTAACGAGGTCCACCTCTTCAGCTTCGCTAAGGAAATCGATAACAACATATAGACCAGGAACGGCTAAATCATCCTAAAAAGTTTCAACTATATAATCATATAACATATAATCTGACATTGCTTCGACTAAAATGCATAAGTACTGGACAAATATTTCATTTAAAAAAGAAAAAAATAAGCCAGACATGTATAATACCACTTTCCAATTTTTTTTCTATGAACATCTTTTAAGTGATTACCTCAAAGTTATTTTCGGCTTTGTTTATTCTACTAGCCACATCATGGATATCAGCTAATGATGGACGATTAGGTAATGAATTATCATGTATTGCGATATGGTGATGCGAAGAATAAACATACTTCTTATATTTTGCAAACGGATATTCTTCACATAGTCTTAGTTTCTTCACTCTAAATATTTTAAACAGTTATATGTGGTATGAACACTTACTCTTTTATGGATAAACTCGCAGTAATTTCATTATTTTATAAAGACGTAATATTCGCACGACTAGTAAAATGATTAAGTCATCCGTGTGTCATTGACACTATATTTATATTATATTTGCGCTTTCGGCTATAAAAATATATAAAAATATACATTAAGCAATGAAATATAAATATTATAGGCTACCAAAATGTACATATATACAAACTAATCAAATATTACTGCTGTTCACTAGTTATGTTGAAGCGAACCAAGTAAATTGAGACTGTTCCGTCTTCAAATTAAAAATTAAAAATAAATCTTCCAAACTTAAATGTCAACAGATGCGACTTCATACTAACAGATACGACCATAAAATTATAACCGGAAAAAAGATAGTAAGGAATATATTCAAATTATTCAATATATAAGAAGCAAATATTCGTAACGCAACGGTAGATTCAGTTCTTTTCCATAAAGTTTTCATCTCATTTACGACTTCCTTCAGATATCAACACCAGAAAGAATTTTATCCCACCTTAATGTATCTTTACATGCAGCGCAAAATCGAACTCCTTTACAACCACATTTCGGCTTCTCTTCCTCAACTGGTTCTGTCTGTACCGATTGCACCATTATGTGTCAATTATCAACCTCAATAAATAGTATTTAAGCGTTCTTTTCAAATTTATGCAAGAAAAAAACTCAATTGATACCGATGATTTCAAGGGCATATGGAAATTTAAAATCCCCACAAATGGATTTCTTTTCGCACCATTTAAGCAAAGTAGAGACGACATTTCTCGTCAAAATACAGAAAGTTAACTTTGCAAAATCTGCCGTACCAGAAAAGAAAATCCTGAAGAATTTAGTCCAAAAGTACATATTGGTTGACTTTCCCTAAGAAATACATGTAAACTGGTCAACTTTTAGAAATATTACAATTTATATGTCCAGAATTACCACACACAAAATTGAGAAAAAATAATAATGAACATAATAGCTACAATGAATTGAAAATGTGTGAATCTTAGCTCACATCCTTAACCAATGCTTTGTGTACATTTTTCTTGAGAAGGTCATTTTTTTATTGTCGCAGTTCTCTAACAATAATTTCTCTTAAAACGCACAAAACAAACTACACAGGCAAAAAAAGATTTCTGAATAACTCCTCATTTTCTACATTAGTAAAAAATAATGTGAAGTAGCATTTCGCAGTATCAATAATCACACTTCTCATATTGCTGAAATGATAAAGTCAAAAGTTTCAGTTCCTCGTATGAAAGTGTTTCTCTTATGCCAGGAGTGCCATGCTATCGATATTTCCACCATTTCTTGTATTAAGGGTAGTAGATATTGTAACAGACTCCACTCGCAGAACATCAAACGTGTTGAAGAGAATTTCTTTTTTATAAACATCCAAATTAAACAAAGAAGACAATCAGGGTAACGTTTTGTGGAAATGCTGACGCACACCGAGAAAAAAATGAATTAAACTGAAAATTATTACAGCATAACACTATTCCCAGTATTTTCAATTTGGAAGTCCAAGTTTTGCATACTTAAGGGTACACCCTAATCAAGAAATAGAAACAGCTGAACTGATCACCGAATAAAATCAAAAATTTCAAATCCCATTTAGACATACATGCAACTTGCTTGCATTTTACCAGCAAGCAGAATGAGATACAACACGATTTATGATTTTAAACGTTAAGAATTTTCAGAATCCTTGCTCAAATTAAGCACACTCCTAATTACTCCATACCTCTTGTTCTCGTTATATTTTATGAATTAAAAATAGCGTAAAATCGGGTGGCTAAGGAAACAGCTAAAAACGAAAAAGTTACAAAAACTAATTTCAAGATGTTGAAATTTGGAAGTTATTCAAAAAACTGCAGTCCCTTGGAAATGATACTCGTGAATCCTGGAAAGTAAAAGCTCTTCATTTTTCTAGAGTCAAATTCATAAAATTAAACACAAAAATGTAAAGGTTTAAAAAGCTTACTAAAATATTCTAGTTGGAAAATACAATTATATGTATATAACATCATTACAATTCAGATACTTTAATCATCTATGGATCAAAACTTTGCAATCACAGCTGACGAATACAATGTTTCTCTTCCTCCCTCTCCTCTCCCGTTTCGTTAGTCTCTCAATAAGCAAGATACATCAAATAGAATTATAAAACGTAGAATTTCATCAATGTGAAACAATCAAGACCAAAAATTAGAAATATATTATCTACACAACTGCACAGAGTTCCGGTTAAATATAAATTTTAGTCCAGAAGTTTTAATTCAAAAGAACTTAGATAGAACTTTTTTTTCTCTCAACCTCTCGGATGACCAATCTATTTCGCTTCAAATAACAGGCAGGAATTGAAAAGGGTGTATCGTTAATTCTTTCATTCCCTCCAATGCTCTCCAAACGACGCCGTTTCTGTGAAGAATACGACAAAGTGGATGAAGTTGACGGGAATTCCTGGAGTGCATATTCATCGATTACCTAAAAAAGCAAACACTACGTATTTAGGTATGAGAACTCCCAATTTATCATCCATGTCTTACCTTGCTAGTTGGCGTTATTTTGCATTGTACTGATTTTCACAGCTGATTAAGCTTCTGAATCCTAAGCATTGCATTTAATTTGAAATAGAAGATTGAACATAATTTTAAAACTGTGATAGCCGCTGCTGAGCAACAAATAAGTCAAAATAAAACTCACCCCTGCTTCCAAAACTTCGTCTTCATTTTGCGTCCGAAATATGTCATCGAAAATTTGCATAATTTTCGCATCAAACCGTTGCTCCATCAGGGTAGTGGTACGAGTAACTGCTCGTGTGACCTCTCTTCGAATGGCTTGCTGTACATCAAATAATAATTGATTTTTCAGTGCATTCATCTCAGGTGTGAGCTCGACTGCTGCGCCGGGAGGTGCTAAGAAACTGAAACTCAAAGTCTCGCATAAAATATCGTGAGCTAATTATAAATCTTAATATAAGTTTACGCATCGGGAACAATCCGAAATCAAAGAAAAAGAAGTTCCTAGCATCGTTGCAGGATTTAGGTCACAACGATACTTGCACATCACACTGCATATATAATCTTCTGATAGAAGAAAACCGGCAAGAAGCACAGCCCAACCTATATATCAATCCAACGTATTTTATAGGCACAATAAATAGTAAATAAACCAACCTTTCATTTCCTTCAATTTCTTCATAGCGACCAATTTCGCTACCGTGAACACTGCTTTGGTACGTTCCTTCGCCTAGTTCCGCTGCTATTGCTGCCTTCTTTAGCAAATCTCTTTGACGGAAATATGCCGCTTTAACTCTTTCCCATGAAGGGAAAAGCTTTTGCAACGTACCATGTATGTTTTCATCTCCAGAAAATGATGCTTCTATTTCAGCCATTTTATCTAGCCCCTGAAATACTAAAATTATAATAACAGTATTTCATTTGAATATTAAAGATACACCACGTAGTGCGTACTGCAAATCATTATTGGGTATTCACAAAACTAATCAGCTGGAGCAGTCATCATCAGAAATGTACATAAAGATTCTAGGAATCCAATACATTGTTGGTAAAGACCTATAAAATAGTTTCTAATGTGATCAAAAAAGACAAATCACAAATTAAACAAACTTCCGCATGAGCTTCCCGTGGATTTTTTTCACCTTTCCTGATACTTCTACGACACTCACGATCCAGATTTTGGACTAAAACACTTTCTTCTGACAGTGGTTCACATCTTCGATGGTGAAGTGGCCTATCGATTATTTCACCATATTCTACTTTTACATATGCTTGCCGGTCTGGTCCATAAATGCGCTTCGCACGAGAACATCCAAGGCATCTGCAACACATATACATGGATTTTCCCAGCTTTTAAAAGCTTTTTTCTTCAGTTTTTAAATTTTGATTTCGGGAAACTTTCGTAATGCTAAGCTAAAAAGTTAATAATTTGCGAAATTTTAGTCTCTCCGTCTGAACTTATGGGAAAAGTAGTAAAGATGATGACATGAAGGAAGCAAAAAGCATGAACCAAGTATACTCCCTAATATTTGTGCTAAACAAATGCACACCGACCTGTAATACGACCGAACATTATCTGATGAAGTTTTCATATACGAATACTGCCGAAAGCCTTCATTTTCTGGTACAGTAATGAGTGTTTCATTCAAGTATTTCGAAAGTCCTGGTCGAGCTATCAGAACGGTGTCGCTGAAGATTCAGAATATTTTTTAAAAATAAAATACAAACAGAAGCATATTCTCTAAACTGGAAGAGGCATAAAACAAACGCGAATTTTCTTGTCTTTTAAAAGCGACAACTCAACTCGTCAACTCATAACAGAAATGAGAAAAGTAGAAAAAAACCTTACGCTTCATCTGGTTCAGTCGGCGAGTCAGCCTTATCATCGGTCTATAAATAAGAAAATACAAAACCAATTAACATGGAAAAATGTCCAATTGTGAACACGAATATGTGACACATAATCCGCTATAGCAAACTCACAGTGTCAGTCAGGGATTTCCAAGAAATAATGACCTGTTTTTTAAGATATCGACAAAGAGTGGGGCTAGATACATCAATATCTAGATTTTCTTTGATCAGTTTCGCAAGTTCCGTCAAACTCGAAACTTCTCCACGCTTGTAGCCTTCAATTAAGTCTCTCAGCACACTGAAAACAAATCTAAATTAACCTGTTATCAATCATAAACTGCTTTTTTCAACTTTAATCAAATTTTCAAGAAAATCTAGCATGAAATAACATACGCTTCCTTGTCCTCCTCCTCCATATCTGTTGAGCCACGACATCTTGTCAACAAACTGCAAAAGAATAATGTTCAATTAGCATTTATAATTTTTTTTTTTTTTTAATTAACATTAATATAAAGATTTCTTCTAATCTCTGAGGATTTTACCCCTCACCTGGTAATCAAAACTCTAACAATTTTTGAAATTTATAGGTGTAAAATTTCATTTCCATAATCGTCATAACTTCATATGGATAAAATCTGTCTGAGATTAAAGGGAAAATAGTAATGAAACCTTTCAATGCATTTATTGATTGCTTCTTCTTCATTTGGTGGTTTTACCACATATCCAACGGTATCGAAAGATCTTGCCCATCTCATTTCCTTGAAACGCGACTAGAATTTGTATTATCTTAACCATATTTTCCAAAGTTATACTTACTTTTTTTTAGAAGAATATATGTTTGGCAAAAAATTTTGCACAATCTATAGCTATCTTAAAATAAAAGGAAAGAACTTACATTGGTTAATACACGCCTACACATATTGAGTTGCCGTGCTTCTAGATCCTCCTGCGTTCTGCGGAATACATCCACCGGTGTAGGTGTACACAACTGATTATGTGTCGGAAACGGATCCGTTACGATGATGCTATCACGCATTTTAATTGTTGGCCGTTCACCCTGGCCAAGTTTTTCATACAAATGATCACATGTGGAGCAGCGATATGATGCGCTTCGACCCGTTGTACTAGTGCGGCGATAAACACGAACAAAACCATTGTCTTCATAAATTGCTAAACCGTTATCGTTACCACGACTCGTTTTCACAAGCTCAAAATGCACGTCATATCCGACTTCATCAA